TTTCTTTCTTTCTTTCTTTCTTTCTTTCTTTCTTTCTTTCTTTCTTTCTTTCTTCTGTATCTATTCAAATGATGTCTGGGTCATATTTATATGTTAAAATGTTATTTTTTATTACTGTGGTGTTCAAAAGCTGTAAATGACTAGAAAAGATCTCATCAGAATTATTATTGTTGCTATTATTATTCATTACTCTTCCTCCCTGAGGTGCTTAAATCTGTAACTGCTACCTTACTGGAATGATTTTAGCTATATTGAACGTGGAGTTTGTGCTGAACAGGCTTATATAATAAATAAACAAAATGTCCAGCTATTGCTGAAAATAAAGCATCCATTCATACATATTTAAATAAACCCCATGCCTCTTAGCTCTACAGGTAATCCTGTAGTTACAACCATTTGTTCAGTGACCATTCAAAGTTACGACAGTGCTGAACAAAGGGACTTATGACCGATACTCAAAGTTCCAGCCACTGAGAACCCCCACGGGCACATGAACAAAATTTGGGTGCCTGGCAACCAGCTCGCACTTATGACTAGTTGCAGCATCCCGTGATCATGTGATCACCATTTGCAACCTTCCCTGCTGGCTCCCCCCAAGCAAAGCCAATGAGAAGCTGGCAAGGAAAGTTGCAAGTTGCTGAGGTAAATATTCACCCCCTGCTCCACACCATCCTTCCCCCTTCACTTGCACACCCCCCGCACCCTCTTTCCCCAGCCTCCCTGCACTTGCACATGCACCATTTAGTGACAGCAATCCCAGTCCCATCATGCCAGTGATCTCTCAGTCAGACTGTTCCTGAACATGGCTTTCTTCTGGAAGTGCATGAAACCTGTGCCAGGTATAGCCTGGCAGACAGCTCAGTTGAACTGAGGAAAGGCACAGGATGAATTGAGAGAGATATTACTAGGTGATCTCCCTCCATTTCACCATCCATGCATCTTCTGCTCCATTGACCTGTTAGCCAGAATATATTTGGAAATGGGTTTAGAGGTCTTCCAGAAGATCACTACACTATAAATAGCCCAAATGACAGGTCACTGGCACAGAAAATCTCTGCACTGGTGATCTATTGCTTGGATAATTTGAAAGATGCATAAATTAAAAAGTTATTAAAAATAAATTAATAATAAATTAAATTAACAGGCACCCATTCACAATTTCCCAAGTTTATCCCTCTACTTGTCAAGGACTGTGATTCATGGTTATTTTTGCCACCATGAAATGATGCTGGTTGGAAGAAGAAAGGCAGCCAAGAGGATCCACCAATCACTTGACCTGCATTAAAACTGTATGGACAGCACCAGTCACCAGCCTCATCACCAAGGCTGAATAAAGCTCAACAGTCAGGGTACCACAAATTATGCCAACAAAGCATAATTCTGCTGACTCAAAGCCTGGAGGAATGCATGTTAATGCAGCTGTGAGGAAGAGCCTATGATAAACATTAAGTGGAGGAAGTAGTTGAATGAAGATTAGAAGATATATAAATCATATAAATAATCATATATAATCATATAAATATAAATCATATAAATAAATAAAGATGGCTATCAATGGGGCATGGTTCCCTTGGGGGCCAAAACTTTTCCCACCCCAGTGATAGATGAAATTTGGAGGATATAATTCATCTGGGTTCCCTTTCCAAATTGCCAGTCAGAGAGGGCTAAGTGTCTATATATGAAAAGGACAATAGATGTACAGTTTACATTTAGAAATGGAAAAACACAGAGACAGGAGTTTTTGAACTTTATAGCATATCTGTTTGCTGGCTGTCTCCTTAAGGATCTGGTACAGAAGGAACAGATTTTGACTTGTATATTTGCTAAAAGGACAAAAATATTACAAAATCCTAATTAGCATCCAGTGATATTCTTCCAAGGGAAGCCAAATGCTGTGGTCCTGGAGTGACTCACTACTTGGACTAGTAGATCTGCACAACAGAATGTAAATAGGTCTGGTTGGGAACTCTAATATATGACAGACCCTAACATTGCTTGCCTTTAAGAAAGCCATGTGAAAAGGGCACGTGGGGCCAGTTGAGTGGAGTCCCCTTTTGGTTGTTCTGTAATAGTGCTGGTCACCATTTTATATTCTGTATTTAAGATTCATATTTATACGTTGTGTATGTTTTAACAGAATGTGATTCTGTTTTTGGCTTAGAGTTTGTTTTTGTGGCTGTATGCCATCTAAATCATATTATTGAGTTGGACAGCCTTATAAATCCATTAATTAATTAATTAATTAATTTTAAGAAAGGTTTTAGACACAAACATGTTGTGAATAATTGGTGCAGTAATTACACACATTCCTTCCAGTCATGTGGTCAATTTTCAAGCCTGTGGCAGACTCTTCCAGAACCCCCTATTCTGCTTCTGTTTATTTGGCTTCTCCTAAAGAGGCATATAAGCCTTTTCTGACTTGTGAATATTATCTTATCAGGTCCAATAGATGCAGCAAAAGGCTGGAGCCAGGAATGATACCAATATTTAGGGTTTTTCTTTAGACTTAAATGAAATATGACACACAATTCATGTGAGCCAGGGATATCCTCTATGGAATGGAAGAGGTAGATTTTGTGGCAAACAAAAGGCACATACAACTCATGTTCCTAAAAGGATACTCACTCTTATAGCCATCCTAACATACATATGTAAAGCTGCTCTCACAATCCTTTCTTTTTACAAGAGCTATCAGAATACTTTTGCATATCCTGGTCACTGTGTTTGTGTTTTGCTATTTCCTGCTTTAAATCCTCCTTCTTGTCTTTTACAAGAGCTATCAGAATACTTTTGCATATCCTGGTCACTGTGTTTGTGTTTTGCTATTTCCTGCTTTAAATCCTCCTTCTTGTCTTTTACAAGAGCTATCAGAATACTTTTGCATATCCTGGTCACTGTGTTTGTGTTTTGCTATTTCCTGCTTTAAATCCTCCTTCTTGTCATCTTTGTCTTCATCAATCATTCAGATAAATCTGCTAATATTTTTTATTTACATCTGCAACAATACGTGAGTCAGCAGAAAACTATACTGGTATTACATTTGTTGTCCCACTGCTGATCCTGTCCTGATTCTATTGCTTCTGTTTCTAGTCACTACCCTCACCTGACTTCACTCTAAGGGAATGAGTGAGAAAGTCTAACACATTTTACAAACCTTGAGGCTGCCCTGGGATGGTGTTAGAATAAGGGGTGAAATATTACATTAACATGATTTCCCCATTTGTATCTGTCATAACTTCTACTTTCTCTTTTAATCTCTTAAAAGTGAGTGCAGTGTGTGTTGGTGCTGCTCCTCTTGACCAATTTGAGTTGGGATGAGCAACAGAATCCATGCAGGGACCATGCAGTTAGAAGCAAGAAGGATTCTTGGAGGCCTGGATCTAGGATTTAGAGGCCCACCTACTTCAGCATCCTATTTGCATAATAGCCATCAAGATTCCTATGGGAAGACCCCAGGTAGGAAAAAGCGCCCTTGTCCCTTTCCATACATGTTGCCCAGTAACTGGTATCAAGTGGCTTAATGCTGCCTTAGAATTGGATTGCCATTGTGACAAGTAACTATTGATAGCTTACTCTTCCATGAAAGGACAATACACGTTTAAAGACATCCAATTTAGCAGTCAAGATCCCCATAGAGACTTTGTGATGTGAAAGCATTCTTTAGACATCAAGGTGAAAATTTTCTGGGGAGGAAAAGATTAACTCTTGCATTTCCCATTGTCACCCTATCTTCCCAAATCATTCCTGTGTTACCTCTAGGCTTGGGAAAAAACCTTCCAAACAATTAATATCATGCACCCTGCTAATGTTTAGCATGCTGACCCAATGTTATAAAATACTTGTTTCACTTGGATGAAAACCAAAAAGGGGAAAGTGGATATAAACAAATGTTGCCAGCATTTATACCAGAAACATGCATTTAGTGTTTGTTGGATAAGGTATTTTTAATGCAGTATTCAAGAGTG